AAGCTGCCATCAACAACGGTAACAATAATGTGCTGTAAATATGTGAGCGGCAACCTGAGGATACCACTGGGTTCCTTTATGGCTTTACAGCGGTTTTTCAGTCAGTCAGTCTGTCGGTCAGTCAGTCCACCACGCTGATCCAGACTACAAAATCTCAGCAGCTATTTGATGAATTGCCCTGAAGTTCCTCGAGAACATTCACGGTTCCCAGAAGATGAATCCTGATAACATGGCAGTGTTCTAGTATACAGGAACTACAGACACAAGTGTGTGACCAGTGACTGTTCTAACAGCAATGCTAAAGAGGTTAGCATAGCATCAGTGATATCAGAGCTGGAGAGTATTTCTTCATTGAAAGAAGAGCAAAGAACGGCACTGAAGGCTTTTCTTAGCTTTTTTTCGCTCTTCTCCTGACTGGCTTCAGTAAGAGTTTGACTACAGTTATTATCAGCATTAACATTGTCATTGTGAGCATGCTGATGTTAGCGTTTAGCTCCAAGTACAGCCTTGGAGCTGCGAGAATGACTGTAGACTCTTAGCAAACAATAGACCCTTCTCATGGCAGACATTGTAACTTGTCAAAGCTGGAAAAGCACAGGTGTAACTAATAAGGTTAACAATGGCTCTATTCCATTAAGTGTCCCGGTAAGTCAGGTCAGTGAGAGAGCATGCACAATACCAGAGGTCTGGAACTGTAGCTCACCTGCTCATCAGCCATCTTCCCTGCTATGAATTCCACCTGTGCTTTTTTCCGGTTTTGAAAAGTTCAAATGTCTGCAGTGAAAAGGGTCTTTTTGTCAAACAGATTGGTCCAGAGTGAGGCGTCTTTTGCTCAGATCAACATGGGATTTGTAGTGGATATTAATCATCAGCACTCAGGTTAACTAAATTTTGACCCTGGTTCAACATTTTACCCATCATGCTCGGGGCTACTTGTCATTCCATAAAGTCAAAGAAGGGAACAGAGAGGTTGCTGGTCTCCTACAGTGTGTGACAGTTTGAAATGTGAAGGCAATGCCGCACAAGAACTCTCCGCTCCGCCAGGTTCACCGGCCTCGTGTCGACTTTAATGATGAATCATGAAGGTTAAAGCTCATTGGGAATAATCTAATAACACAGCTAAAACAAAAACAAAGATGATGTATTCACCTGTGTTACACTTCCTCAAACACTCCATCCATCTTCATTTAGTTGGAGGAGGAAACATCCCGGTGGCAGGACAAGGAACTACAGAGAGTTGTGTTTCTGAGCGCCTCTCGGCTCACTAAGGATACTTCCTTCTAGACGTTCTTCTTTCTCAAGTGGTAACACAGAAATGAAGTCCCCATTCATTTCAATGATCAGGGCCATGAGACTTATTCACTTTTTTTTTTTTTATTCACAATTTTTAAGTGACCACACCTTGTTCCCTTATGTTCAATCTAACTTTAAACTGACAAATCAAGAGTTTCTCCCAGCAGTACAACCAACATGCATCAATAACTAAACAGACCCAAATACAGTGAGACCACCCACAACGGCAGCAGCATGATGATCAAACTGATTAACAAGCAGCCGGGAAGGAACAGCAACACATTTCCTGAGATTCAATGTAGCCATAGAAACTAATTCCAGAAATAAGTTGTTCTTCATGCTTGAAAGATTAATTTGGAAAAACCAAATGACAGCCCTATTTCCACCTCCTTCACCAACAACAAACCATTCTGTAGCAAACTGGACTGTAGTATGACAATAATCTGCCAACCAATGTAGCACCGTATCTGCCCTAAAAAACATTTTTCTCCTGTTGTCATGATGATGACGCACCACATGATCAAAGCTACATACACAAAGAGTGTATGTGCTTGTTAGTGATCTATCTGAAAAAATATCTGTTTCTAATTGCTCTAATACAAGAGGATCCTATTAGACTAAATATAATTTGGACTGGGCCTGACTTCAATCCAGGGTCAGGTCTTGGTTACTAGAGACTAGACTGACTGGAAAGTGAATAACAGTATTCTGGGAACCTTGGTCCTATCTAGCGAACCAGCCCATGTTTCCACCAGTTTGGGGCGAATATGACATGGCGACTTTGGTTCCCAAGGAAAACCTGCTATTTTTTGGTCCCAGCTGGGCTCTGAAACAATTTATTTTTGGTCGGAATGCTCCAAAGGGTTCAAAAGACAACTTAATCATGGTCATTTGCATGTCAAAGCGCAACAAAATTTAACTTGTTTACTTACCTCACGCTTGCAGCGATTCAATTGGAATCAATTGATTTGACCATTTTAAATGCTGTTGGGGCTAGGCCTTTAGCTAGGGGGTCCAGGTGATTATGCGCCATGGTGAAGCAACAGCCCGCAGATTTTAATTCTAAGCGAAGACTACCGACTGATTACCTATCCTCAAGGTAAAGTAAGGAACTCATCAGTGAAATAACCTGCAGACTGGAAACCTGCTCCCCCGTTTAAACAGACAGAACACCTGAACACACCAGTGATAGAGAGCCAGACCTGCTTCTGTAAAAAATATTCTGTCTGCAGTTCAGAAAATTTCCTGATTCAGTGTGTATGAAGGTTTCATGAATGAGGCAGGAGGAGGAGTGTGTGTGTGTGTGTGTGTGTGTGTGTGTGTGTGTGTGTGTGTGTGTGTGTGTGTGTAGCATCCACACAGATAAATGCTCGGTCTGAGTAAAATATTCAGAGGATTTTACAGCTGAGCTGCTGAAGAAATATAAACCACACACATTCAGAACTGCTCAGCTGATCCAGCAGATACAGTGTGTGTGTGTGTGTGTGTGTGTGTGTGTGTGTGTGTGTGTGTGTGTGTGTGTGTGTGTGTGTGTGTCTGTCTGTGTGTGTGTGCTCTTCTACCACCAATTAGCTTAATTAAAGTGGTTGGACATAATTTATTGACAGCAGGAGACTCACAGAGAGAGAGAGTCAGTCAGCAGCTCTCAGATCTGTTTGTTCAGTAACCAAAATCATAAAGCAAACTACAAACATTAAGTGATTCTTAAATGATGCTTTGGGATATTTGAAGTGGACTCAAGCAACGATTCATTTAAAGATCCACTCAGATCAGCTGGTTCCTCAGTGGAAATCATGGAATATTATATTAACACTATCTCTGACAGATATGGGCGTGTTGGTAGACATGTATTAGAAGAATAAACGTCAGAATTGTCCAAGAACAGCAACTGAATCACAGAAAAACAGTTCAAACCAAGCACAGCCCCCATAGAAAACCTACTAAAACAAGGTTAAATGAATGATATAAGTTAATGCCATGATATCCCAGGGCCATAATGTACATTACTGGTACTCAACCTGGGGCCCAGGAGCCACCAGGGATCCTTGAGGATGTTCCAGGGGATCCACAGAAAAATAAATATTTTAATTTCACTTTTATGTCAGTGACTAGAAGTCAAACAGAATAGTCATTCTTATTCTCTCAGAGGGCTACTCTGAGAATAAGAATGACTATTCTGTTCAGAGGTTTCACACTCTTCACTGCCAATCACATCTGCAGATCTACTGTATAGACAGTTGTGGAATCTTATCAGACGGGGGTCCCTGAGACTACATCTTACCAAATACGTGTCTGTGGCCTGATGTGCATCAATTTTGGGGTCTTTGAAACCAAAAAGGTTAAGAACCACAGATGTAATACTAATAATGTACTAATAATATACAGTGTAATACTGGGCATCATTTTATGGTGTGTAGTCAATACATAGAGTTATGGTCCTACTTTTATTATTGTTGTTATTTTATATGATTTGGCTTTTTACACTATTTTGCTCTTAGCGTTATCTTTGTATTTTATCTGCTTTGGTTGAAAGGTAACACTGCTGTTTCCCTTTGGGATTAATAAAGTACTCAAAAGTAGAGCTAAAGGTAAAACAGCAGCAAAACCCCACAATCTGCTCAAACCTGCAGACTAACTCATCACCAAAACAGGTGTAATATGGTAAACCCCTATGAGTCTAGCAGAACCTGGTAACAGCCAGCCAGATCCACCAAAATTCATCCATCTGGGAGAAACCTATAAGGCAGAAAGAGATCCTGAATGAGAAAACGATAGAGCCACTGAAACCTGCTGAAGCCAAGTGAAATCCATTTAGAACCTGTCAAACATAGCATCTAAACCTGATCTGTCCCTGTAAACCCTTTCACTCTGGCAGAAGAGTAAAACAGCAGCAAGATTCACTACAACCTGCTCACAGCAGCAGCATAACACATGATGAGGCTCACAGAAATCAGGCGAAACCTGGCACAGCCTCATGGCACACACAAAAACCTGATCAAACCCAGTAAAGCAGAATGTGAGAACTAACAGTTTGAACCTGGACAATAAAAGGAACCATTTTTAAGAAAAAGACAGCAGAAAACAGTGAAATTCACTCAAAGCAGCTGCCTAGCACATGATCATACTGCTGAAGCCCAGGGAAATCCATTTAAACCCAGCAAAACCAACATGATCAGACAAGCAGGATTCAGGTGACACCCGGTAAAGCTCCACGAAAGACACAACAGCCAAATCAAACCCTGTAAAACCTGTTAAAAGCAGCAGCCTGAACCTGATCAGTCCCACTGAATTCATTATTTTGGGGGATCTTGAAGGTAAAACTGAAGCAAAATCCAGCAAAATTCCCTAAAACCTGCTCAAAGCAGCAGTCTAGCACATGATCAGAGCCACAGAAACCTGCTGAAGCCCACTGAAATCCATTTAAACCCAGTGAAACCCAGTAGAAGCCGGTCAAACCCTGCAGTCTGATCACACACACACACATAAAGCCCAGTCAACCCGGTTCAGCCCCGGTCAGACCCGAGTCCTCCCGGGCTACATTAAACAGCAGCCAACAAGGAGACGCAACAAATGTGTCAATTCTCGTTTGGTCTGCGGCAACCAGCAACCACACACACACACACACGCACACGCACACACACACACACACACACACACACACACACACACACACACACACTGCGGGATGGAGGCAGAAACACACTCACCGTGCGCTGTGGGGTGAGCAGCCAGCAGCCAGCAGAGCAGCAGCAGGTAGAGCCCTCCTGTCCTCCTCTTCCTCAGCACCAGCACCTCCCAAACGTCACCAATACATCCAACCGACACCAGCTCCATGCTGCCCGGCTCCAGTCCCGATGAGCCCGAGGAACCAGGAGCAGACACCCACAAATCCTGCTGTTTGATTTTTGATTTTTTTTTTTTTTTTTTCAAAGAAAATTCCTCCACAGAATCCAACTGTCAATTAAAAATCAAAATGAGAAAATCAAAAAGAACCCACAGGGTGGCAGGTGAGGAGGATGAGGATGATGAGGAGGAAGAGGAGAGTGAGGGGTAGAACAACCTCTCCTCTCCTCAAAAATAGTAACCCTCTCCAAACGGGCTTGGATCCCAAAAAGAAAAAAAAGAAAAGAAAAATCCAAAAGAGACACACACGAGGTTAGTTTCCTTCTCTCAGGGCTGAGGAATAAGTTCCAGTAACTATGAAGGCAGAGGCTCCATCACTCCTGCCCGGTGCGGCTGGTTCCCATTCACACAGATGCGAGGAGGCTTAAAATCCACGCTGCCTTCCCGGAGGTCTGCTCCGTCTGCCGGGGAGGACGGATGGAGAGGGTCGGAAGAGGAGGAGGAGGAATCCACTCTCTCTCTCTCTCTCTCTCTTTCTCTGTAGTTCTATACAGCTGGAGAGAGAGAGGGGATGTAGAGAGACCTAGGCAAAGTATGAAGCCATTGATCTAAAGAGGCTGGAGGTAAAGCCCGGAGCTGGAGCGGAGGAGGAGCGGGGTGGTGTGGAAGCTGGAGCCCGGCAGGGGAGGCAGAGCAGCGGGGAGAGATTAACTGAACTCTCCTGCCCTCTCTGGTCAGGCCGGGAACTTTAACACTTCAATTAGAGCTGGGAGAAGAGATTGATCTATCTGTCAGTATGCTGTCTGTTATGGATAGGCCTATGTAGAATTTTAATGTTATTTCTAAAATGTGATGTTTTTTTTATTGTATAATTTTATACGTATGGAAGCCCATTTCTGCCAAGAAAAGAAAAAAAAGATGACATGACAAAACATTTAAATTATGGTAAGTCAATATTTTGAGATATCTCATATTTTTGGAAATTGTCAATGAAAGTTTTGACTATACAGTCACAATAATGACTTCTATTCACTTTGATGTGGTGTCTTAGAATTGTAACTTAGAAAAATGTTTGAAAATGTTTCATACAATTGATTGAATGTCAGAATGTATTTTTTAACTTTAGCACTGACAATGCACATTAATCAACATCACCATTTACATTACACCTCAATGCAAAGGTACCGGAGTTAGCAAATAAGCTTCTTTTTTTTCATGTGTTGGCCCTGAGCAGGTTATAACAAATTAGTGCCCAATATCATCAGTATAGTGCTTCAACAGGTACTACAAAACAATACATTACAAATGACAGTAGTGTTAGGGATTATTTGGACAGATATTACAATATGATTCACAATTAGTGTGGGAATGATCATAGTTTTCTAGTACAAAAACTAGAAGAGAACACCATATGTAGACTGGGGCATATCTGCAGCTTCACTACTTCATTATAACATTTTACCTGTATCAAAAAAACTGCAGCTTCTGCAATTTGCATATTGGACTTGGCCATATTGCAATTTCTTTAATATTTTGATTAATTGAACAGCCCTACTACGGTAGGAAAAAAAGGGAAAAAAAACATGCAAAAAGTTGAAGTTTTACAATTCTCTCAATCCCAATAGATCTTAGAGAGGAAATAGGGTAAATGTGCAGAATTTTGCATCCAATAGTGCTTCTATGTTTAAAAATAATAATATCACCCTTCAGGTTAGAATAGCAATAACAAGTAAGAAAGAAACTGTGGGACTTTATTCGGGTGGAACGCAAGTTTCTCTGCAGGCTAAGAAAGGCCCCCACAGAGCAGTTCAACAAAGAACAGATTTCCTCCTGTAAGTTGTTGAAATTTCATTTATCCACAAAGGTTGGCACATGTGATTTCCATCTCTTTAGTCTTAAACATCTTACCAATAATTTTACTTTTATTTTGTCATTTTGAATCATTTATTTGTATCATCTCTTTTCCTGTCTTTTTTTGGCAGGAACAAATTAATTTCTTCACGTACAGATTCCATCACTGGGAATTCAACTTTTTCTCTTGCTTGGAGTGATTCTCCTGTGCACCTGTCTGCTAGCGTTAAATACACCTTTTATGTTTATTTTCTAGGCAGAAATTGACTTCTGCAGTTTTATGATTCAGATTCAGAAAAACACAATTGCCTATCTGAGTTCCATACTGCAATCTTACAGTAAAATGCCTGAACCTAGATGCAGAGACCAACAGGATAAAAGTAACAGTTCACTTACTCACTTAGAGTAAAGGACAAGAAAAAAAAAACCTAAATAAGAACCAGGCAGGCAGAGAAGAACAGGCAAACATCCCCTGGGTAAGACAGGTGGAGCAGAAGTCCAAGAAGCAGGCAGGGGGTTGAACAGGCAGAATGCAGGCTGGTAGTGAAAGGTTGGAGCACAATAGACAATCTGCCAGAGAATGAATGGAAGTGGGCCAGTAGCCCATATTATGGGTCTAATGAGGGAAGTGGGAACAGGTGTGTAGGTAGGTGTTGCCGGTAGTGGCAGGATCTGAGATGATGGGAGCACATGGCAGGGAAATAGAGCAGGCAAGAGAATGTACTGAGGTCACAGGATGAAAACTGAACCATGTCCATGACAACATGACCATTATTATTTATTATGTTTTCTATTCTTTGTTACTATTCCTATTTTATTGGACAATGATTGTCCAAACTCAGGCTTTGAGGCTGGAGACTCTTATCTCATTAGTGTTATTCAGTTATACATAGTGGAAATAGTGGAATAGTGGATCAAACCGAAACTAAAACAAAAAAATGAATTAGTAGAATAAAAATGCAAAGAAGACAAAGGAAAAGACAGAGAGCAAAATCAGCGGCCAGCGGCTTGTGTGAGCACCAGTTGATCTAAATGCTAATGTCAACATGCCAACATGTATATGTTTAACAGGTACATTTACCATGCGCACCATCTTAGTTATGTTATATTCTCCGAGCAGCAGAGATACACGTTCGGGACGATGTCTAGAACTGGCACAATCAGCTCCAGCAACTGTGGTGCAGCCAGAACGCTTCATGGCCGTGCCCGGTGAAATTTAGGGGTAAGTCATTCAATCGGTGCCGACATGTTCTCATCCCAGGTCCTTTTGTCCTGCCCTTTTTAATACGGTGTTAACATAGTCACAGTTCGGTTTAATTTAGACAAGAAAACTATTTGGTCAGGTTCAGGAAATGATCGTTACATCAGGGTTCCCTCTCTTTTTAAGAAATAATTTTCCAGGACAATTCAGAACAGCACTTGTTCACAAACAGTCATATACTGATCTGGTATTCCTAGCATTGACTTTAATTCCTGTTTTTCAATTTCCAGGTGTTTCCATGACTGAAACTAGTCCCTAAATTTACAGGTTTTCCAGGATGCGTGGGAACCCTGTAAGTGACTTGCAAGTCATGTAATTTGAAAGACACGTTGCCATAATTGTGGCAACAAGTCACGTATGTAATGTTATAAAACTTTAAATGACTTTTAGTTTCACACAAACCCCACCCCCGTCTCCTGGGTGAAAGTCCTGTGATTGTTTGGCCAATGACAAAACATTGGCATTTGATGCCCTGGGAATGAGAATGGGCTGGTGCAACTACATCTCAGGGAATACTGGCCATGTCTGGATGTCCCAGTGAATTTGAACCCCCCCTATGTGGCATCTAGAATTTTTCTAAAGTACCTGTAAACCTAAGAGTCCACTTCAACAGAGAATCCTGATCTACGATTGGCCTGCAGGTGTTAAGATCAGGTCAACAGTTAAACCACTGTCCTCAAGCAGAGCTTAAGGCATATTAAAATAGGTAACCATAGCAACTAACAGCACTGATGCTTCAAGCTCCGACTGGTGAAACCGAGCTAACCAAGAGTTAAACTGACCTGGGAACTTTCTGAGAAGTAAGACTTTGCAACCTTTACTTGTGGAGCAGTCACAAGTAGCAGAAACACACACTGATACACACACACACACACACACACACACACACACACTTCCATAGACTGACATGTTACACAGACACACACAAACCGCAGGTGGAAACGCAACAGATCATCAGTGTGTTTCTGCTCTCAGTGTGATCAGCTGATAAGAAACCTCACAGACATACAATTACCTAATTACTGATTATCAGACTGTGAACTCACAGCAGACTAAACACTGCAGCTCTGTCTGTGCATGGATGTGTGTATGTGCAAATATGTGTGTGTGTGTGTGTGTGTGTGTGTGTGTGTGTGTGTGTGTGTGTGTGTGAGTGTGTGGGAGAGAGAGACTCTATCTAACAAATCCTTTTCTTCTTCACTGAAAACCCTCCAATAGGAGCCAATTAGAACACAATGCAGCTGATAGTATGTATTTATCAGGTTGCTGCTCCACCCTCCCTCCTCTACTGGTGGCCATGATGGACGTCCACGTCTTCAGTGACGAGCTGACTGCACTCACCCTGAAATATTCAGAGAAATAGAGATTGCAGGTAATAAAACATATGGACACAAATCTGAACCTCAAGAGTGGCATAATGCTGTTCAAGGCTTCCTCAGTTCAGAACTATTATGGCCAGTGATATCTGTATTTAACCCTGTGAGTCAGCTGACCACACCCATCAGTAGAGAATGTCCACCCACTGTTAACTGTGGATGTATACACTGTCCCCAGAACTTTGTAGGTGAACAAGACCTTCGCAATATGTGATGGAATGGAATCTTTCTTGTCTTCTGTAGTTCTCCCTTTTCCTTTCACAGTTTTACCTTCTCTCCCTGTCTGTGTTTTTGTCACAAGATCAGCAGCTCAGATCTACCAGCACAGCAGTGAAAGACAATGAAGTGTGTGTGTGTGTGTGTGTGTGTGTGTGTGTGTGTGTGTGTGTGTGTGTGTGTGTGTGTGTGTGTGTGTGTGTGTGTGTGTGTGTGTGTGTGTGTTCATCTAAGAACGGATATTAATGTCAGACGGGAAATTAAAAGCCAGGTTTGTGCGTGTCTGTCTGTGTGTGTGCAACCAGAGTGTTTAGTGCAGGGGTCTGTGCTGGCAGCATGACAGGTATGAACACACACATACACACACTCACCTATCTAGATTTGTAGTCAGGGATGCAGCTCAGTGCCGCTGGACTGGACAAGAAAAGATAGACAGGGATGTCTACAGGTCCACAGTAGGGGTGTGCCTCTCCATCACTAAGGCTGATCTTGCTGCATTGCCAACTATACGATACATTAAAGATACACTTGCGCTGAAGTGAGATTCAACATGATTTGATTTAACACAATGGGACTCAACACAATGCGACGCAAAAGAATACGATGCTATGCAATTCAATGTGGTAAAGATGGTTTGATTTTATTTCCTCCGCTCTTCTTAAAGGTCCAGTGTGTAGAATTTAGGGGCATATAGTGGTGAAGTTGCAGACTGCAACTAACTGAACACCACTCGCGTCTGTATTTGAGGACCTGGGAATGAGAAACTACCATGGACGCAAAACTCACAGCTTGAGAAACAGTTTAAAGAGGAGGAATCAATCTAAATATAAAATTATTGGTCACATTTCTAAATAATAAAAGGCACTGGG